TTATTATTGTTTTCTATTTAAGTTTTAATTTTTTATGCAGTTATTAAATTTAAAACAATTTTTCAGTAACGCATATAATATAACTTGCGCAAACGGCCGTGATCACGTTCTCTAACTTTCCTGGGAAGGCTTGAATATGTATTATTATTATTATGTATTATTATTAATATAATAACTAGTATATATATGATTAACTGCTGAGCATTTCTTGCACACTCAATTAGCAAACTTAGAGGAAACTTGCATATAAAATGAGTCCTTCCAGAAGTAACTGAATTTTGAATTTGGAAGCTTATCTGTGAGAAACTAAAACATTTCAAAAATTAACAGTAATGATGTAACAAATGTAACACTCTGATTATTTAATAACCAATTATCAGGGGGGGGGGGGTTGTTGAAATTAAGCTAGTAATGTCTTATGAGCAAGTAACTCTCTATTTGTAGGAAGCCTATTGAAGCCAAAACATTTTAAAACATTAGAAAACGCAAGAAAATCAAGTCTCCGCTTCCTTACAGTCTTCAACGCGCCACCAATATCTGTTCTCAGTGAAGTGTGACACTTTTTGTCTAAAGACATTTTCTAAAATTACCTAATTTAATACAAAAATTGGATCAAGTTAATAAAACTGTTTATCATGAAACTATGAAGCAATCTTTTGTTATTATTGCTGTTATACTTAAAAAATAACTATAAACAAATTTTACTTGAAAAAGTTATATCATCCTGTTCTTTATTCTATAATATATCTATAATAATTTATATCATATACTAAAAACTAAATACTATAAGTCAAACTACTATACAGCTTAATTCAGGTTTATTTGAAATGAATAAACTAGTTAAGACTTGATTTTTGGAACAAATATCTTCTACTTTGATACTCAATAAGTTATATTTCTTAGACACACAATTAATATTTATTGTTAACCACGATTGTTGAAATATTTAGTTCATGTATATTAGTATTTTATCTTAAAAACTTATTTAAAAATATAAAAATAGATTATATATATATATATATATATATATATATATATATATATATATATATATATATATATATATATATATATATTAGCATTGGATTTTTTGTCACGTCACAGAAAAAACATAAAATTGCTTGTAAAACTTTAAGTAATAACTATGAAAATACACCCACCAAATGATTTTTTTTTTACCATGTTGTTCGCTGCGTTACGTCTGACAAAGTTGTTTTGTTCAGAAGTGGTAAAAAGTCAGCATTAAGACTATCACGCTACATAGAGTTAATTTTTGGAAAAGATTTAAAACTTTAATGCTGCAACTTTGACATACTAAATTATATGTTATTTCCATTTTCTGTTCATTTTTAATAGCTTAAAGAGTG